TATTCCAGCACTCAATCTCTTAAAAAATGAATAGAAAGAGCAGGACAAAAAATAGAAAATAAAAAGTAAAATAAGACCACCCATTTGAGTAACCACAATGAATTTAAAAGGATTAAACTTTAAAAGAAAATGGTTCTCTGACTAAATAAGCACTTAAAACTAGTGAGATATAGCTAACTCTTATTTATAAGGAAAAAATCTAGACTACAAGGATACAAAATAAAAGAAACATAAAGAAAATCAAAGGAAGGTTGAAAGACATTTCAGGTAAATATTGCTCAAAAAAGCTCTAGCAATCTGACATGAAAATCACTGTTAAGGAAGATCCCTACATGGCAGTAAAAGTTCAATTCACTCAGAATAGGTAATTGTTATGGTTTGTGTCTGGTTGTCCCCCCAGAGCCTCATGCAATCATGGGGTGGGGACTTCTACAGTTTGAGATTAATTCATGATCAAGGCTGAGATTATGGGTCTTAGTACTGCTGGGATTATGGGTGTGAGTGCCACACCCAGCCTGTGGCAGATAGCCTGAATGCCACTTAAGGGACACAGTTGCCACTACTCCTTCCTTTTGCTCTTTGCTGCCACCAGGAACAGCTGCTCTCTGCCATGTGCCACTCTGCCTTGGAGCTAGCTGAGTGTGGCCTGAAACCTCAGTAACTGTGAGCTAAGTTTACCTTTCCTTCCTTCATTTTGGGTCTTGGGTATTTGACCCAGCAACAAGAGAAGAGTAACTGAGACACAGTCCTAGGTTTCTCTTTAGAGTGCAGTCTAGGGGTTGAACCCTGCACCTGTGAGGCAAGTGCTCTACCACTGAACTACATCCTCAGCTGATTATATGACTGTTCTAAAGTCTTAACACCAAATACAGCACTCTGTGTATATCTAGAGAGTAGAAGGCCTAAAAGAAACACAAACACGTCCTAGTAGGTCTTCGTTTATAATGTCCATTTAAATTTGGAGAATTATCATTTTTCCTATCTTTTCTGCAGGGCAGACCTCAGATCTCTGGGTTCAAGTAGCGCTCCCCGAGCACACATGTGTGGGCACGTGCATGCCCACAGCGGAGCACAGACTGACACCGGGTGCAGGAATGTAGGTGAGTGGGCAGCCTGCCGCCCATCCTCGGGGGTCCTCACCTGGATGTGCAGCTGGCGGTCACGCAGGGCTCTCTGCAGCTCCAGGAGGCTCCCCTTGAGCGTCCTCAGCTTGCCAGCCAGATGCTCAGCCTCGCCCTTCGTGTGTGCCTTGCCCTCCAGCAGCAGGTTCTCGTTGTGGAGGGACAGCTCGGACAGGGCCACCACCTTCTGCTCGATCTCCACCAGCATGTTCTGCCAGGGCACAGGCACGGAGGACATCACACGTGGGAACCAACCTCTGCAGGGACTGTGTGTGGTGGCACTGGCTCCAAACCCCAGCGCTCTGGAAAGCTGAGGCAGGAGGAGCACAAGTGCAAGCCCAGCCTGGGCAAGTTAGTGATGGAGGGAGAGCTTATTTCAAAATGAAAAATACAAAGAAAACTACCATAGCTCAGTGGAAAGGGACTGGGTTCAATTTCTAGTATCACAAAATAAAAGAATGAAGATTTCAGTGCAATTACTCCTCACATTAATTCCTAACAAATAGTCAATATGGGATGAAGTTAATTTTATGGTACAAAAGTCAATTTTGAGTCTCCCCTCTGCCTAAAATCTACTGTTGAAATTTCCAAATACCAGGTCAGGATAGGAACCCTAATAGCAGCAGAGTACCTGGAAGTACTTCCTGCTGTGTAGCCTGGATGCTGACACTAGTTCCTTTTAGATAATAAATACAGATGCCATAAGTATTCAGATATTTGCGGCCTTTAAAATTACCGTGTGTCCAGCAGAAAAGTATAAAAAGGAGGTATATAAAGTAAATCCATATTAATACAATGAGCTGTAAAAGGCTCGAGTCAATAACTTCTGAGGATAACCCACTTATATTATAGACTGCGAGACAGTGTTAGATTGTTTAGTTGAATTCAAACACCTATAGTATTTAGATGCCAATAGAATATTCACCTCTGACAGGACAAAAAAAAAAAAAAAGATACAAAAGAAGGATCATTTTGTATTTATACATACAAAATAGGATAAATTTACAGCTACTTTCGCTTAACTCAATGAGAAGAAAGAGCTGTACTAACAGTGTTCGGACGGAATATCCTGTCTGCTTCTTGTACTATGGATAACCACTAAGAAGATAACAATGTACAGTGTATTCACTATCAAAACTGTCCTATTAATCAGCTGTGAAACTGTCTCACTCATATTTATTTCTCTATTAAAAAAAAGATGGTAGTATTTTTGAACTAGGCAGAAGTGTTGGTTGTGCAATATTTTGACTGTTAAATGCCACGGAGTTGTTCATTTAAAATAAATAAATAAATAAATAAATAAATAAATAAATAAATACAAAATTACTATGTGCTTTACAGAATTGGAGATTGAATTCAGGGCCTTTGCACTGAACTACATCCTCAACCCCTTCAAAAAAAATTGGGTTTTTTTGCACACATCAATATTTCTATATTGTTTTATACTTTTAAAAGTGACAATCCCCAGGCCTGCCATGCCAGCCCCACCCCCGGGACACACTGAGACTGCAATTGAGACTGGGCATGGTGGCACGCACCTATAATCCCAGCTCTTGGGAGGCTGTAAACAGGTGGATCACTAGAGTCTGATCTAGTAGTGAGACCCTGAACACCCTGTAGACCCTTCCCTAAACCCCCCCCCCAAAAAAAAGTGACAGTAACAAATGCTTTACCTTGTTGAGGAGTGATATATCTATTTTCAATGAATAGGAATTAAAAAGTAACAGCATTTTGTCCATATTGAACTTAGGACATCGCATGTAAGTCACAGAAAGCATTAAGAGATGCTGGAAAGCAGAATATACCCAGGAGGCACGAGTGAGTCCAAGGGGACCCATGACTGGAAGAGTCCTGGTGCTCCTGGAGAGAGGGAAAGAAGAGGGCTCTGCAACAGCGCAGGGGTGACAATACCACTGCCTTCTCATCACTCCATGAGCACAGGAAACCTCCAGCTTAGAGCATTCATCGAGGCTGAAAACTTCCCCTGCCCTCTTCAGTTCTGGGCTGTGGCTCACTTTGATACAAGGTCTCACTAAGTCACTGAACTGCCCAAGTTTGGCTTGAACTTTCAATCCTCCTTCATGGTGAAGCATGCTGGGATTATAGGCATGCACCATTATGCCCAGGTAAAAGGCAAACTTTTTAAAAACCAAGTTCCAGACTGAGTTTTTATAACATCTTGCTTCTCTGCTCTCTAAACACATAAAGTTCATAGGTTGTGAGAACTCTTGCACCCATACTGAGACTTCTCCCAACATGTCTTCTCTGTGTTCATGGCAGGGCATGGGCCCTTTCTGTACCTGGCAGTCCACCAGCTGGGCCTCCATGTCCATCGGCTCCGTGGGTGCCCCGAGGGCGACATCCAGGGTGGCCTTTGTACTCAAGAGCCAGTGGTCCAGTTCGTCTGCTTCACAGAGATACCGCTGCAGGGCCTGCTTGTGCCTCTGCTCCTCCAGCTGATCGTTCAACTTCTCCTAAGGAGTTCAGCAGAAGGTGATGTCACTGGAAGGGGAAGGCTTGAGGACTCAGACATGGAGCAGCAGCCTCAAAGCCCCAGCTGCGCATCCAGATCTCTAGAAAATACATGTGTAGGCCACACCTCAGAACAACAAACCAGGCGGGCTGCGGGAAGCTTGGGTCTCAAGATTAGTATTTTTTAAAAGATTCCCAGCCAGGTAACATGGCTCACATCTGTAATCCTAGCACTTGAGAGGCTGAGACAGGAGGGTATTGGACTTCAGGCTAATTTGGAAAATTTAGTGAGACATTTTCTCAAAATAAAAAAAGTAAGGTAAAGCAGGCTGCACAGATGTGGCAGTATATGCCTATAATTCCAGAACTCAGGAGACTAAGGCAGGTGGATCACTGTGAGTTCAAGGCCAGCCCGGGCTACATAAGTGAGTTCAAGGCTAGCCTGGGCTACATGGTGAGGCCCTGTCTAAAAAACAAAGGCAGTTGGGTGGATGAAGATGTAGGTCTGTGGTGGAACACCCTGAGTTCTACCTCTAGTACCAAAACAGTTTTGTTTTTTTTTTTTTCCTCCCAATGATACTAATGTGCCTGAGAGCTGAACATGGCACCCTTAAATAATGTCTATAGGGACAGGTAGTAACAAAAATGACAGAATTACCCAAGAATCAGAACCAGACAGCAGCTTAAGACAACCAGAAAATGGCAAAAAGCACTTGGCCTCAGGGTCTGCGATATGTCAGGGGTGTTAGGACTATAGCAAATCAGAGAATGAGGCCTCCCTAAAAGGCAATCACAAGCACCGACCTCGTGCATAGGGTGGCCCAGGGCTACTGGTGTCTCAGATGAAGGGCAAATGCTAAACTTCTAGATCAGATCTCTGGGTTTTTCCAATTCTCATAAATCATTCATGTTTAAAAAAAATTCAGCCCCAGTAGCAGTTGGCATATAAAGATGTCCCCAAGATTGTGTTTTTCTAGCTTCTGATGAGGCGCTGGCATGATTTTTAATGATTCTGTAAAGAGAACTATTATCTGTATGATTAATTCACTATGTTGGCTTATGGGTTATGCGTTTACCTTTTAGTGTCATTTCATGACAACTTTGCAATTCGGTTCATGGTGACGATCCGTATTTAGTGACTGCACCATGTTTATACTGCTGACTCAAATGCCATCCATGATAAAGTTATACAAATAATATGTCTTTTATTGCAAATTATAAATTTAAAACTTGTGTAATGTACTTATGCTTTTTAAATGAACTATATGTGTATATTTAAAAAGAAAAAAAAAATCAGGCCCATGCTTCCTCTTGACATTCCACTAATTTTTCGTAGCTGGTAAGGACAATAGAAAGTTAACTCTTAAGGTTCTATTATTTTATTTATTTATTTATTTTTGCAGTTTTGGGGATTGAACTCAGGACCTTGCTCTTGCCAGACAAGCTCTTATTCTGAGCTATCTCCCTGGCCCTTAAAGTTCTCTAGATGGCCTGCTTTTCAAAAGTACATAATTAATAATTATTTTTACATAATGTTTATTAAAATTATTTAACATGGGGATTAGTGGGTAGAACACAGGCATTGATTTTAAATTGATCCAGAATAAAATGTATGAATACAAGACTTGAAGTTGGGCATGGTGGTGCACACCTGTAAGCCCAACCTTGGCAATTTAGGAATTAAGAGGACTCCTGGCTCTAAATATATAAATAAATAAATAAATAGGGCCAAGGATGAGAAAAAAATGAATAATTAAAATGTCTCATGTACTTGTACCAACTTCCAATGATACATGTAATTAATCATTTGGGACTATAGAAAGGTACTAATAAATTTTTTTGCAAAAACATTAGAAATGGACTAGGTGTGTAGCTCAGAGTGAAGGCCCTGGGTACAATCCCCAACTATTAAAAAAAAAAAAAAAAACAGAATGTGACTAATGAGTAAATTTAGAAACAGCCTGGACCTCCAGCAGTAGGGCCCTAGTTAACAGAATTATTGTAAAAGCAGCAGCAAGTGACCTAATACTAAGCCGTATCATGAGAAAGGCACGGGGAACCAGAGTGTGCCAGAGAAGCCATGGGATCCTGAGGCCGAGTCAGACGCTGTGCAGACCCTGAGCAGGGCACCTCCCTGGCCAGCAATGCCAACCCACCACCCAATGTGCCCAGGACCAAGAGCTATATGAGACTATACAAAAATTAGCTTATTTTTTAAACATACACATTATTATTGCCAAAATTTGTCTGTCTACCAAACTATATTAAGCAACGTAAGAATCAGACGCTCAAGTGTATTTCGCGAAATCATCACGTTTGAATTGGCTGCCAGGGACGAAGCAGCAGTTCTTTACAGTCTTAGCACCATCGAAAGCTCTTACTACGCAAACCTTCTACACCCCATAATCCCCAGCGCCTCCCTGAGGGGTATAGGGGTGGGTTCCGGGCTTCGCCCTGGCTGACACTTTGCTCTATTCCTTGAACCTTCCCCACACGCAGGAGGATCACGCCCATCCGGCGCACACCTGTCGACCTCATGGGGAAGCAAAGGCAAGGGCAGGCGCCCGGTTACCTCCAGCAGCTGCCGTTTGCCCGCCGCCTTCATCCGGATGGTGGACATGCGCTCGGCCAGCACCGTGAGCGTGGACTGCAGCGCCAGCTGCTCCGCAGGGTCCGACTCCCGCGCCTCGGACACCAGCTCCTCCGCCAGCGAGGCCTGCAGCGCGTTGATCTCATCCTGGACCATGAGAATCTCGTCCATCAGCGCCTGCGGGGAAGACTATGCAGTCACGCTCACGCGTGCATCTCCTCACCGTTTGCGTCCAGCCCGCAGAGGCCCCAGAAGACATCGCAGGTGGAAGTTCTTTAGCCAGAAATCGGGGCTCCGGAACTAAGCTTCACAATGAAGTCGAGACCAGAGGAGGCCAGGGTATTTCTGATCTTAATACTGTGTGTGCCACTCACGGAAGTCACTCTGAACACATTGCTAAACCTTTCTGGTTTTCAACAGGCTCATCTATAATTCAAGGAACGTGTATTCAATAATGTCCAAGAGTCTGAGTCTACCCTGAACATAAAATTTGTCACTTTTGGGCAGGGGAGATAGCTTGGCAGTCTAAGCCCTGGCCCAGAAAACGCAAGGGCCTGGGTTTGATCCCCTGTACCCAATGCCTTGCCAGCCCAGTGACCAGAGGAGCAGGTCGCCGAAACCAGCGTGGTGGCATACATCTGTAATCCCAGCACTGGGGAGGCTGAGACAGGAAGATCACCAAGAGTCTGAGCTGCTTAGGGAGACCCTGTACCAAATAAATAAATAAATAAATAAATAAATAAATAAATAAAATTATTTTCTCCTGGGGGTGGTGGCACGTGCCTGTAATTCTATGTTCTAGGAGGCTGAGGCACGAAGAATAAAAGTTCAATCTAATCCTGGGAAATTTAACAAATTAGTGGTATTCCCTGTCTCCCTCATAAAGGCTTTGGATGGAGCACAGTGCAAAGGTCCAGGGTTCAAGCCCCAGTAGCAGTATTCCCACTTTCACATTCCCTAAAATAGGAAAAATCTAACTGATAGGTTCTGACCCTAGTAAGAATTGCTGAATTATTATGGTATTTGTCTAATATGGCTGAAGCCCTTAGAACAACAGCTTATCTTGTCAGTGACCACTTCCTCCTCCTTCCCCACTCCAGCCCTGGGTAGCCTTTCTTTGACCTTTCCTGCCCACACAAGGGAGCCTCCAATCAGCTCCTTCCACGTCACTAAACCCACCCCTCAAGCTCCGCCCCTGGCAAAAGCCCATAAAGTCTCAGGCTCCCTCTCTCAGGTCAGAGGATGCGCCCTCCTCCCTGCCTTTGGTCCTCTCCCTGTGTTTAGAGTTACTAAAGGCTCTCCCTACCCTCCTTGCTGCTTCTCTGCTGCTCCGCCACCACCACCGTTGCCTCTGAAACCTATCACTAACCTGCTTCTACGTCCTGCTATTGTCATCATTTTTCTCCTAACCTATTCAACTCTCGAACTAAAATTTCGAGGGCGGATATCCAGACTCTCTTTCCTGTCTTCCGACTCTCCCCAGGAAATGGCTATTCCCAAGACTTCAACTATGTTCTCACACAAAGCACTTCCAAATTCAGGTACCCAACCCAGATATCTGCCTGAAATTTGAGGCTTGGTGTATTCTAATGGCATAGTTCATGGATGTTTCCACTATTCTAAGTATTGGTAGGTAAAAAGTACAACTGGCTATCATTCTGGACTAGGCTCTTGCTCTAGTCCCAAGAGAAAAGACCCCCAAATCCAAACAAGTGACCCACAATAAAGTTCCATGTCACCAACCCTCACCTAAGGTGTTTTCCTGGCCTTCTAAAAAAAATACCAGATGAGGTCTGGGGAGATAGCGCAGTAGTATAAGCACCTGCCTGGCAAGCACAACAACCCACGTTCAATGCCCAGTACTGGAAAAAAAAAAAAAAAGGAAAAGAAAAGAAAACAGAAAAGGAAAAACAGATGAGCAACTCAGCCAAGTTTCCCAAATAGGCAGGTCTTAGTCATCATGATTAGCTATTTTAATTCTACTGTGACAAAAGCAACTTGATGCTACCCAATTAATGACTTTTTTCTTCCCAGCTTTACAAGGAAAGTAACTATGAAATGTCTTTTTTTGTTATTGACTTCTGCCTTTTATTTTTCAGCCCTTGTCTACCTATAGAACCAGACTCTTCTGTTTTGGTTCATTTGAACACTTTCTGTATTCAGTGAGGTGCTGCTGAATTCTAGAATCAAACTAAAGTCAAGAAAGAGCTTCAGTTTGTTCTGTTGTAATTTGTGGTCCTTTGCCAGCATGAAGCCTGCTTCACCCTGCCTTCCCAACCCCCACTGCTCAAGCTGCAGGACAGAGTCTGCCTTTCTACCTTCATCCTCTTCAACCTTGTGCAACCCATCCTTCAACCTTACCACCCCAAATGTACCGCAGGGACCTCCAAAGCTCCATTTTCTCCACCTACCCAAGCAAGTCAACTTCCTCAGTTGGTCTCCTGATGAATCTACCTGTTACACTTTCTCTTCTCTGTCCAGTTCATTTTTTACGAAACAAGTACAGAGACTTAAAAAATACCTGTGAGTTCTTCTCACACATACCCCTCCCCCACTTTAAAGTATGTAATGGTTTCCCACTTGTAAAATAAAATATAAACTCCTTACTTACTGATATGGCCTCCTTAGTCCTGCCTCTTGTACCACGCTCCCCTCTCCACTCCCCTCTCACTCTACTTCCGCCTTCTTGGTTAACTTTAGGGCTGCAGCCCTTTCTGACCTCAGGGACCTTGCACATGCATTCCCTCGGGCTGGAACACTCCCACCAGGCAGACGGTGTCCTTCAGTCTAAGATTACCACCACACCTCCACAGTTCTTCCTACCTGAGGAATGTATCTTTCTTGCCTAATAGCACCTTTTCTAACTTCTACCACAATTGTACACCTTTTTGTGTTTATTTCTCACTTGCTTCATTCTATGGCTTTATCTTCACATGTACTATTCACAGGGAAGTTTTTATTTAGGACTTGAATAACCTGTTAGAAAAATAAGCATCATGGCAAAAGACAGGACCTTGATGAAGCAATGTAACTTGGGCTCTGTGTCCATTAACATTTCACGGGTTCCAGTGACTTTGCACCAGGAGGCTTTGTACCAGTAAGCACAACACTCCTCAGAGTGTACTCTCAGTTATTAAAAACAGATAACAGCAAAACACCTTTGCTTTTTCTAATATCTTGTCTCTCTAACTTATTTTGTATTCTTCTTTTGATACAAGTTTTTGGTATGTACTCCAAGATTTGAACTTGAGATCCTCCTGTCTCAACCTCCCAAGTGCTGGAATTACAGGTATGAACTACCATACTCAGCTTGATTTTTAAGAGTATTACACTGACATTGTCACATGTGATATAACCTGTGCAACTGATTCCAATTTTGTAACTCTGTATGCTTCCACTGTAACTTTATTAACTGTTATAACCTCACATAGACGCCACCATCTTGTTCTGTGTGCGCCATTCTAAATGCTGTAACTTTCCACTGTGCCCTGTCCTCTATTTGAGAACCTGCAGTTGAGCCTTTTTCATGCTGTCCTTTGTGCACACCTGAATCTAGTCCCAGCCCAATGCCCTGTTCTTGCCCTTGTTCCCAGCTACAAACTGTACCCACCACTGCACCTGTTATTGTTCATTAGAAACAGGTAATTTTTCAACTGTAGCCCCTAGACGAACCCTTGACATCAGCTTTTGTGGTTTATTAGCTTAAATACCCACTCCTCTCATCCTCCCAGCGTGCACCTCAGCATCTTGCCCAGGTGTCTGCCGCTGGATACCAGCTAAAATAAAGCGCTTCTTTTCTTTTCTAGCCTGACTCATTTTTGAGTTACAACAACATGCATCCAGAAAAGTGCACAGGCCACACACGTGAGGCTCTATTTCTCTGCACAAACTGCACACACCCCTGTTGCTGCGTACAGACCATGAAACTGTTGTAGGCAGCTGAATTCGATGGAAATATTCTAGGCAGTCAGATGGCACCAGGCCTTCAAGGACATCATGAAAGACAAGGTGACTTTGCAGCTTGGAAGAGACAGACACTCCCATATGGGCCAGACCTCAAATCAAAAGAGGAATCACAGCTACATTCTTCTCTAGGGATGGGCATCAAGGATTGATATGCTAAATAAGTATCAATCACCTTGAAAGAGCCTAAAAGAGTCAGTAGCCCAACCCCAACAGGAGGAGACCTTGTTCCATATTCATGCCTGCTTGCTACATGACTGGCTTCCTCATTTGATACTGGCTTTAATCAATTTTACCTGAGCAATGGTGCTTGTAATCTCATTGGTTGACCATAGCATTGTCCCACTTCATGCCCACCTTAGCTCCCATGTTCTCCACCACCTTAGACCCCCCTCACCACATGGTTTTTCTCTATAAAAGTCCCTGGAAGAAATAGCTTCCTGGGGACCACTGCTCGGTGGAGCTTTCTTTCCTCCAATATATCTATCCTGCTCATAACTTCTGTTTGTTCCTAAAATTCATTCTTCGGTTTTAGACAACACAAATTAGTCCCAGGTACTTTGCAGGTCAGGAGATCATTCCACTTATATCATTTGGAAGTCATCCACCCGAGATCATTTGTTCCCTGTGTCAAAACAACTGTGGTGGGACTCAGTGGGGCCCTTGACCTCCTCTCCGTGGCTACTTCCCTCTTTCCTAACACTGTGTTGACTCATAAACATATAGCCCTGCTCTGGTTTTTTTGGTTTGTTTTTTTAATGTATTTGGTTGTTGCAGGGTCTCCTTATACAGCTCAGACTCATGGCAATCCTCCTGCTTTCAACCTCCCCAGCTCTGGGATTATGGGTATGTGCCACTCCACCAGACTCTGGCTGGCTCAGCCCACCCTGGGAGCAGGGCCAGTGTGGCATGTGGTGGCAGGAATCAAACCATGGTCCCTGTACTAAGCTTGCCTAGATGCTGTAGTTTCCTGAGCTGTCTCGCTGGCCCCATGAACTTCAGCTTTATGTAAAGGGAATCACAGGGGCTGTGCTGGTTGGTGTCTGGCTTCCTGTGCTTCCTACCAGCACTGTGGGTTGTTCATGGTGCTGTGCATACCATTTCTCACTTTCATTGCTGTATCACGTAACACCAGTTTGTGAATCTTTTCCATTCATAGTGGGATCTCAGTAGTTTTAATATGCAGTTTCCTGAGGTGGGTAGTAGTTACATGACATGAATATTCTAAATGAATTATACACTTTTGAGCAATTCATCTTATGTCATGTGAATTTCATTTTAATTTAAAAAATACCTGATAGTCAAACATGCCTTCAGCCTCATAATTTTCAATACAAAAGCTAGTGATCAGCTTTTTTGCCATGGTATCTGATTCAAAACGAAGGACATTGGGGCTGGGGAGATAGCTCAGTAGAATAAGCATTTGCAAGCAGAGGGTCCTGAGTTCAATCCCTGGTACCACAAAAAAAAAAAAAAAAAAAAGAAAAAAGAAAAAAAGAAAGATGAAGGACAGGATGAGAAACCATTCGACCTTTGGTTTTTGGCTTGTGATGAGGGGAGGGCGCAAGTGTGACCCTTCAGTGGCCTAGAGGAGAGGCTGGAGGTGTCTGAGGACTCAAAAGGATGTAGAAAGGGGCAGAAGAGGGGAGGCAAGATTTGATGAGAACTCACTGCACACATGGTGTGGAAATGTTGCACTGAATCCCATTACAATATACAAGTAAAACATGGGAATAAAACAAAATTTCAAGCCAGGCACGCACGGTGACCCATGCCTACAATGCCAGCATTCCAGGAGGCTGAGACAGGAGTACGGCAATGTTGGGCAACTTGGCAAGACCCTGTCTCAAACAAAATAAATAAATACATAAAAGCAGAGAAGGCTAGCAATGTACCTCAGTGCAGAGGCAATGAGTTCAATCCCCTGTACCAGAAAAATACATATATACTTTTTACTTTAATACAGAGAAGTACTTTGAGCTCCTCCTTAGAATCACCAGCTCTTTAGTAGGAAGGGAAACATGTAGATTTCATAGTCAGTTCAACATCATCAAAAATAGTCATTTCATCTTGGTTCTCAGAACTATGTTTATGAGCAGAGTTCTTTTCATACCTATTTGAGTTGCTGTGTACATTAAGAAACAAAACTAACTGTGCCTAGGGGCCCACAACTATAATCACAGCACTCAGGAGGCGTAGGCAGGAGGATTGTGAGTTCAAGACCAGCTTTGTGTTCGATCCCCAGTGTGCCACACCAGGCTTGCCCCCCAGGCACACTGAGTTAGGGATTGATACTGGGCATAGTAGCACATGCCTGTAATCCCAGCACTTTGGGGGTTGAAAGCAGGAGAATCACTAGTAGTCCAATCTACATATTGAGACCCTGTACTGCATAGACCATGCACTACATTTATTTATTTATTTGCTTTTTTTGTTTGTTTGTTTTGGTGGAACTGGGGATTGAATTCAGGCCCTTGCACTTGCCAGGGAAGCGCTTATTCTACTGAGACATCTCCCCAGCCCCACCACGTACTAAATTAAAAAAAAAAAAAAAAAGACGAGCTTGGAAAACTTAGCAACTCAGTGAGACCTTGTCTAAAAAACAAACAAAATGAGCAGGGGTTGTAGCTCATGGGGAAGGTCTTGGGTTCAATCTCTAGTATCTAGTAGAAAACAAAACAAAAAGTGAAAACAAGAGTTGGGGTGTGGTGGCACATGCTTATAATCCCAGTACTTGGGTGGCTGAGGCAGGAGGATCCTTGGGAGTTGGAGACCACTCTAGGCTACAAAGTGAGCTAAAGGCCAGCCTGAACTGCACAGTGAGACCCTGTCTCAAAATGAATGATGATGATAATAATAATAATAATAATAATAATAATAATAATAAAGGTAAAAGCAAAACCTCAGGGTACTACCTACTATGTCACTGAGCTCAATGTGTCAAAGACAATACATGTCCGCAAGGGTCAGATGTCCAGGATAATGAAGTCCTGATCACAGTGGGCTCCTGGTCCAGGACATCAGCCAGTCACCTAACGCACTGTACTAAAGACTTGAAATTACACCTATAGAACCATACAGAGATAATAACAGGAAGAACAATTCCACCCAAATTTCATAGCCTTAGCCAAGTGCTGAAAGGGAAAGTGCAGGATTGGGTTAGCGCTCCACACTACCGAGGGAGTGTTGGGAAAGAAATGACAGCTAAAGCACGTCTGCTGAAGTTTTGAAGCCTAAAAATCATGCTGGACTCAGTTATCCCAACTCAGCTGAAATTCAGAAACAGCAATTCTGTAACAGTGCTTGGAATTTCTGAAGTACCATTCCAAAAGGCGAGCACAAATTTAGCTCTTGTGATACTAGTAGCTTTCAAGTCAGCAGCTCTGAACCAGAATTTGTGGAAATGAAGTACAGGCAAAGAAAGGTACCAGAAATAACTCCGATGAAAAATGTCAGATGTGTGATGATATGCAAAATTATGCTGAATTAGGCATGCCTTATATTTTTTCTCCCTCTCCCAAGAACATTAATATAGTTGTCAAGCCCCAGTGTCTGGTAAACATCACTGAATTAATTGTATCTTTTTGCTGCAAGGATGATAGGCAATGCCATTCCAAGTTGGAAAGGGACAAAGAGTCATGTAATTAGCTTGAATTCAAACACAAGTTATAATTGCATCTTTAATTTATAATAGTATTAATGTGTAATTTTGACTTTTCTCCAATAAATCCTTTGAACAAAGTAGTGATCTTGTTCTCTATGCGTACTTGTGTGGCTTTTCTGTGTATAGGTGGGTGTGGCTTTTTAGGTTAGTGACTGAAGAGAGGGGGCTGCTAATTGGGAGCTAATTTGCATTTTTAATTAGGAACTCTAGGGTCAGGGAGATAACTCAGCAGAATAAGCGCTTGCCTGGCAAGCATAAAGGCCTGAATTCAATCCCCAGTTCTGAAAAAAAAAAAAATTAGGAACTCTATACTGGCGGACAGGCCACCAGTGTACCGAGGTTGTGCATTTTCTAACTACCTTGCGAGTCCCAGAAGGGTCTGTGGGACCTATGGTCAGGGTCTTGGCCCACAAGGGTGCCAATTTTTGGACAAAGGAGATGACCTGAAGGTAGAAAAAAAAAATTAAAGTACTGAAGCTGGTGGATTATTGACTCCTGGCAGTCTAATGGTGTGACCTTTCAGTTAAGCCTGATCCAACCCACATACAATTTATGCCATATGCTGTTTGGATGCTTACAGGAAGTGGACACTTGAAGGACAGCAGCCCACCAAGCCTGCCTTCAGTGCTGTCATGTCCCTTCCTCCAGGTCCAGTGAGGATAGGTTTGGGGGACTTGAATGCAGATAGCACTGGAGTACCAGGGCCATGCTGGCAAAGGGACAGTCCCCTTGGATCAGGACGAGGTGGCTGTCAGCAATCGGAAACTGGAGCATCAGTTAAAGAGGAACAAGTGACCTGAAAGCCCTTCTGGAAGGAGGAGGGTCTTGGAAACACAGGTGGGGCTAAGAGGAAAGCAGCTCTGTAACAGTCACCCAAGATCCCCAGTGCCTTCAGGATTGCTCTGGTTTACAAAAGTAAAAGTTCCTTTCTGTCTCTTTGTTTGTTTGTTTGTTTGTTTGTTTGTTTGTTTGTTTCAGTACTAGGGATTAACTGCAGGGTTTTGACCCTAAGTAACAGTCTCAGCTTTTTTTTTTTTTTTTTTTTTTTAAATTGAGACAGGGTCTTGCTAAATTGCCCAGGCTGGGCTCAAATGTATGATTTTCCTGCCTCAGCTTCCCAGAGAGCTGGGATCACTGGCAGGCACCACCATGCCCAGCAAGGTTAGTTCTGTACTTTTATTGCATGCTTCCAAAACCTGGCAGATTATGTGTCACTTCAGATGGCAGAAAGACCTGCAGAAGGGGCTTTGTCATAATCAGGACTATGGACAGATGCTGTGCATCTTGGTTTTTATCTTAAGAAGTTACAAGAAGGTGATAGCCATGAAATCACTATTTCACAATATGCCCTCTTTAGAGGACATATTCTCATTTTGTGTTATCCTGCAGGGCCCCATATTGCAAAAGAATGCAATTGTATCTGACTCCACATATGAATAAGCAATGTAGTCTCAGGTTACCCTGGCTTCTAAAAACCACAAGACAAAACGCACGGCTTCACTTTTACAGCAGATAAATTTCCTTGCCTTTATAGATAGAAACATCATACCGAGGTTTTGTAGCTTTTCATTAACATCTAAAAATAGCTTTCTTGTTCCCTACCTTTCATAGGTTTGTCGCATGCTGCTCGGCCAGGGTACAGGAGCATTTCGCCATACCACACTGAGCATGCAGCAGGTAAATGCACACTCCCACATCTTCCACCCCCCACCCCACATGTGTGGTAACAGCACACCTGACAACGTTAAAAGTAATAACCATATTTTAACTTATGCAAATTCTTGCATATATTTAAACTGATGCACTTTTAATATCATCTTTCTGAATTAGGTTAATGTAATCCGTTATATTTTTTTATGGAAAGATGAAGCTCTATCTAGTTTACACAACCCTTTTTATTTTTCTTTTACCACTGAGGACTGAACCCGAGGCCTTTGCACTCAGCTACATCACCAGCCTTTTTACATTTTCTTCTTTTTGAGACCAGGTCTCTAGCAGCCAAGATATTAAACTTCCCAGACTTAGTTTGAACTTGAGTTTCTCCTACTTCAACCTCTTAACCTCTCAGGGAGCTGGATCACAGGTGTGTGCCCCCATACCTGGCTTACCCAACCTTTGAAAAAGTGCTTTCTGTCAAATAGCTGGATTAGAACTGAAAACCCCTTCTCTTCCTTTGCCCACTGAAGTCGGAGATTCGCTCTCTTAACTGATAATGAGAGGTGGGCACACCCTGACTGTCACCCAGAGATAGGAGGTTTAGGGTGTGCAAAGGCTAGCGAGAAAATCAAAATAATTTGGAAACTGTAAGGAACTATACTTTGCATGAGAAAATACAAAAGCATGCATACAGCTTTGTAAAACTGGCGTCAAAGTCCTGTCTTTGTTGCCTGCTTAGGTCCCTCTGGGATGCAGTGTGAGGAACTGTGCCTGGGAATCTTGTTTTCTGTGCCAGACCTGCTGGTCTGCTTTGCAAAGGTGGGCTGTCCCGAGAGCAATGCACCTAGGCAACCCTGCCGGAGGCAAAGGCAGCCCCTCATTTACCTGGTGTTCGGCCATCTGGCTTTCCGGACTTCTGCCGGGCTGGAGGCTCTCGCTAAGCTTCACCTCAATGGCCTCCATTTTTGTTGAGATGGACTGGAGAGCGTCCTGGTACCTTTGCTGGCGCTCCAAAGCCTCATAGAGTGTGCGCTGCTTTTCACTGATCTGAACAACAACAAAAAAAAGGATCTTAGCAACAGTTTCCTACATCTTATCTTCCAGATTGCAACATTTCTTTCCTCACTGCTCTGCCCAAGGCTGTTCAGCTCTGCAGTGGATGTGTAACTCTCTGCTTGTGTTTCATAAGGTAGCACCCGAGGTCATGGGTGTGTGATGAGCTTACCACATTTTTTAAGGTTTCCCAAGATCGCTGCAAATCTCCTAGCTTGGCAGTAGCGGATGGCTCCAGCCCTGGCTCACAGAACTCCCGGGATGTTGATGTGCTGGGGTGGATCCTGGCAGCATCTGTCTGCAGCCTCTCAGCAGACAAGGCTTGGTAATAAGCAATGTCCTGTGAGAGAAAGCACAGTGTTGGGTTCTAAAGGGAAGACTGAGGGTCGGTGAGATAGCTCAGTGGGCAAAGCGCCTGCTTAGGCAAACACAGGGAACGGGGTTTGATCTCCGGCTCCACATGATGCGCCAGCCTCGATCCGGGTGCGCTGAGCCAACCACTGAGACCAGGTGTGGTGGCGCATGCCAGTAATCCCAGTGCTGGGGAGGCTAAAAACAGGAAGATCACTATGAGTCTAAGCTGCATAGTGAGACCCTATACCAAATACACACACACACACAAAAAAAGAGAAGACCACATGTAGACCAATATGCTAGAGGTACTGGTTGTCACAGGGAGGGAGGGTCTAGGATAGGACTCACACCCTTTACAGGTGGCTACAGACTAAGAAAACTAGTAAAATCTGGTGATAAGGTCTTTCGAAATATGGGGATATAGCTCAGAGGCACAGCAACTGCCTGTCAAGCATGAAATCCTGAGTTTGATTCTTGTACCAAAAATAGAAATCAATGCACATTACAGTTAATTACTTTTATGATGTTTAGTTTATATAAAATCATAAGACAATCTTACCAGTATTTCAAACTGCTAAAACTCATTTTATGTAAAATGTAAATGAAGAGGATTTAACTGGTACACACTTATTTAAAGGCAGATTACTTTGTATAACCAAATATGAGAATCTAAAAGGCCTGCAAGCAGGTACAGGGGCCAGGGTTCGATCCTCAGGCCTGCTGTGCTGGCCCCGCCCCCGGGGTGTACTGAGACAGCGATTGAGACTGGGTGTGGTGGCGCGTGCCTGTAATCCCAGCTCTTGGGAGGCTGTAAACAGGTGGATCACTAAGAGTCTGATCTAGTAGTGAG